AGCCGTTGTCGAGGAAAACGAGCCAGCAGAACGAGGGACCATTTCAGAAGTCGGGCTGCGAGACAGAAACCGCAGGTTCACACATCAGGCCTAGAAAGCGACCGAGCGCTTGAGACCAACCCCAGACCTGATTTGGTACAGGTCCAAAGCGTCATCCCGTCCATAATGGAAGGACTATCCTTTGAGATAATCGTCATGTGAGGGCATCCAATCGTGGATCAAAGCCAACATTTGAGAAGACACATTTTTCGAAGCATGCTATACTCGCTTAAGTGATGATTTCTGTCCTTCCTTGTCCCAGAGTCATAAATCAAGCGAATTAATACATTTGTCGTATGTAAGTAGAGTTTCGAGACGAAATAGGGTGAATACATCTCATATTACCGATTTACTGTTTGTCTCGAAAGACTACTTATACGAAAAGTAAGTAATGTGGTCGATTGTGATAGCAAAAATACGTTTCTTCACCGAGAATCTCACCAAAAAGAACGTGATGTGGTAAAAGGCCTGACCTTGCTTGAAATTCCCATCTGCCCCGTGAATAAAGGGCACTTGGGGTTGTGTGGCCGAGTGTGATTGACGTGTCAAGCTCCCATTCTGCACAGTCACAGTTCGACTCCCGCTGGGGCTGTTGATAAGACTGACACGAGGTCGAAACTGCAGTCCACTCCGGTCGGGATGAGAACAACTTTTGGGAATGTGAAATTGGATGGAAACGTAATTGTGGCAAAATTCTTCTACTACCACGAAATAAGGTGCATACATCTTAGAATAAATTAATGTTGGAGTACCTTCCGTTTCGTTTAAAGAGGCGAGTAAAATGAATTCGTCAGTTGGCCCTACCGAAAGCTGTGCTTGTAGAGTTGTGCTGATAGCTCCCCGGCGCACCGACATGCAACCCCGATGAATGCTCGCCGACCTTTTGTTGTCATGTGACAGACATCTTCAGAAGAGGACACCACCCTTTACGATGATTCGCCAAAACACAAAGTCAAGAATGGCGGTCGGCTGCAATCATACCCACTTTTTGTGACACATGTCACGATTTGGTTGGAGATCCTTGCGGTCGAAAAGTGAAGTGGTTGCAAATGAAGTGTGAAACGGATGCATTTGTGACCGAATAGCTGCCTCCCCCCTCCTAAAACACTCGCTTTTCTTGCTTTCCTCGTGGACTGGTGCCGCATGTGATTGCGCACCATTGCAAGTGTGTTGTGTGCATGCAATGCTGGTGAGACGCGTGCGTGTGTGTGTGAAAACCAGACTTGAGGGTAACCAAGCCTCCTTCTATTGCTCCCTCTTTCTTTGTAATCCTGTCCACTAGCCATAGCCAGTTTCCACTCAACTTGCTACACTCATCTCTGCTATTCAGTTTTGGCAGTTTTTGTTCATATCTGCGAAAGAATTAACTTTTGCACACCCCTTCCACCGAGACAAGAGAGGGGATGATATGGTTGCTAAGTCAGAGTAACATTGCTGAGGGATACCTTGACCAAGTGCGCAAGGAGACATGATGAAGAGGATTCACGCACCAGTTGGAGGTGGAGACATCTGATCTTTCAAGCTTATTTCGACCGACAGTGACGATGCAAGACAGACGAATGTGGCTGCAGTGAAATGAAAAGTTGCAAAAGTTAGTTGGTGAAATGTGTAGGCAGGTCTGTGATGAAGTTGAATGAGCAGGAGGCTATTTAACTCTGACTTGAAGAAGGTCGTGCGGTTGAGTCGTCTTGCTTCTGCGGAGCAAGCGCCGTCCCGTAACTGCGGGCTCGACGATATGTTTCCACCCACACAAAGAACTTTTAGAGACTACCATTAAATCTGAGTTAAGAGCTTTAATCACGCTATTCCGTTGAAACGGGGAGGAGGCGTTGGTAGTTGAATGTTCACACTTTCATATTTCCATTTAATTTCACATAACCTTGTTTGCTAAAACGTCAAAGTGTTGAGATTATACGCTGCATTAAGCGGGTTCCAGTCCCGCTGGACGTGCTGATTAGACCGGTTTGGGCAAAGTCAAAACTGCCTGAATGGGAATTCCGTTTGAGAAGCAAGGTTGTGCGAAATTCATCGGAAGCATGAGGCCTAATCAACTAATTGAGAATAAAAACTCATTCACCATTCCTTCATCATCTCAATTGAAATAGCGTGATACAGCTCATGCATTAACAATACGTCAGTTTGAATCCCAATCCAGGTCCTCTTTAAGACAAACTTTATGAGATCTGTACCACTGCAGGGATGCACGTTTACATTAAAAATATGACCTCAAGGACTATTTATCTAAGGAGGCTCGATTCTCTTCAGTACCCCGACAAAGTTCAAGACCGGTCGTGCCACACACACACGTACACACAGCCATGACTTACAGTGTGTTGATCAATTGCCAGCTATGACTTTTAAAGCAAGCCAGGACGGCCAACAAACATATGATATGGTGGAATTGTGAAGGAAATCTAAAGTTATTATGAATTCGACGAGTAACTGGGTTTCGGTGAATCTCCTGAAATAACATTGTTGAGGAGACCTTCATTTCGTAGAAAAGCGTATAGGAAAGGGATTCGAAGGCCCATCCGA